GAGCAAGGATCGGGAGAAGGAGTCGAGGGGGGAGGGGGAAGGTCGGTCCCGTGTCAGAAAAGCCATTATATATTGCGGTTGCAGGCGTTGCTGGCGGTTCGCACTTAGCTGCCCGGGCATTCAAAGTGCAAAACGGCCCGGTGGCCACTTAAGTAAACTGCTCTTACCTACCTGGGCCACTCTAATAATGGAATGCACTTAGTCGTATCCACAAAGGATTCGTGTCGCAGCTTCGTGCTTTGCCCGTCACTTTGCCTCTCTTTGAAGGCCCGCAAGTTCAGAAGAACTTCGCCGAGCCTGCTAATTGTCCTGGAAACGGTCTCCGGTTTTTTTTTTTTTTTTTTTTTTTTAATCTTGCGAAGACTAAAGATCCCTTCCAATCATTCGATCAACTCTTAATTTTTTTTCTTCTTCGTGTAATAAATAATTCTTGCGAAGTGAAACTGAAGGAATTCTTCTTGCAATTCTTTGGTCCTTGCGATTTCAGATTAGGTTTGAACTGATGATACAGGGTGGTTATTGAATTTTTTTTTTTCAATTCTGGGCGTGTAATTATTAACTAATAATCTTCGAAGACGAAACAAAATTCTCAAATCGTATAATTCGATCATTTGGCTTATTCAGTCAGAAAGCTTTCTGATAAACTAGCAAAATTAAATTAATTGTTTCTTATGATTATTCATAAAAAATCGAACGAACTAAGTAAATTGTTAAATGAATAATCCTAACTATTCTTTGACGAAAGAATTGAATTTCACGTGTCGAATAAAACTAGTTACGTTTTACGACACTCTGACTTAAATAACATTGTTCGGTGATATAACGTTGCACGTTATAATCTGTAGGTAAAATTTAATCTCTCCACTTTCAAGGGAAGAATATTATTATTTAATTTACTCTAAACTCTGCCATTAATTTTCAATTGCCTCAAAAAATTTCGTACCAATTGTTACCGTTAAATAATTGCTATTTGCTACTTAGGATTGTATATTGTTGCGACAGCAATGAATACGGAGAATGAAACATTCCCGAAATGTCAAATCTCAGATTGCTATACCACAGAGGGTATTAAACGTATGAAATCGAGGCATTTCAACGAAAGATTCCGCGCGATCCGTGTACTCGACACATCACATGTTTCCGCCTTGTTTTATCGAAATCAAGGAATCGTTCTTCTTCGCCACGATTCTCAGTTCATTCAGTCCATTTTATTATTGCTGAAACGGAACGGGGCAGGGGAGGCAGGGGGTGTTTTCCTAAGCGGTTTTTCCCTCTGCAACGTAGCCACATTTCGTCGTGGCGATTTCCTCTTCACCGACACAATCTTCGTTCGAGAGAGTTAAATCTATCGTAAAGATAACGGGGAGAGTAGATTCAGTGGAAATGTGAAATCCACTCGGCTGCTGAAAATTCATTATCATTCGATTTCTGAAACTCTCTGAACACGGTACAATTGTCTTGATATCGTTGCCTCGTAATTGCGATGTTAATTTTAATTGCTAAGAGTTGGTAACTATCATTTGAAACGACGTGGCTTAGTCTTCGAAATTAGAAAAATGAATTATAATTAATTGTAATATTGAAAGAAAATTAAATAAATTAGCTAAATGTACTGATGCCAAAGGTAAACGAAATTCAAGTAACCTAAATGCGTTAATTACTAAATGAAACGATTTCTTTTCGATTTCGATCAACAATTAATCATTGGGAACCAGTAAAGATAGTATATAGCAATTAAACTTGGCAACTGGCACGACTTACTCGCGATTCTGCCAGTGGGGCCAAAATATTCAGCTGGACTGCCGCGGATTAGTATTCCGATCGAATTTGATTTGACGAATGTTATTGGAAGGGAGATTGGATCGTCGATCGTTCCACTACAGCTGAATCGAAATTGACTCCGATGGTAACAGGATTCGTGACTCTCGATCGTGTTAATCCCTTGTTTTAAATTGCAGATGAGATGATGTTTAATCGGAAGATCAATTCTGCAACTTTACTCCGTGACTTTAACGTTTTTATTATAATCCAGTGTTTGTTTCTTCATTTTGCTGGCTAGACGATCATTGCCATAACGATTGATCAACAATCAATATCATTATATTTTATATTATACTATTTATTAATTCTATTTGATTTATTTAAAAAATTTATTTAAAAAAAA